CAAACTTGCCCCCACTCCCTCCTCCCCCTCCCTCTCCCCCCCCGCCCGGGCGGCCCTGGGAAAAATAAACATTTCAAAACCTTCTGCATCTCGGCACAAACCCAGTTTTGAGAAAACTTCTTTTCAAGTCACCTTTAAAAGGTATCACTGGTTCTCAGCATCAGCTAGTGCTAAAAGGCACTAAAGCTCATTAAAAGGGTTGGACAAATATTTTCCATCAAAACTTTTTTTGGATCGAAAACTAGGGGTTTTTAAAAAGCAGAAAAAATCACGGACAATGTCTGCTTTCCTTCAAAATTTTTGGTGTTTTTTTTAATTGAAAAGCTGAAATTAGTCTGCCAAAACCTGAACATGGTTTGGGGTTTCAGAAGCGTGTGGCCAAGTATTTGCTGCTTGCTGCGTTTGATTGTTTAAAGAAACAATAAAAAAATTCTGCTTAAAAAAAATCCAAAACTTTTGAACCACCTCAGCTTGTGACCAAACGCCTGAGCCCATCCAGTCAGAGATTTTTTCAGGTTTCTGATATTCTGCTGGCTTCCTTGACTCATATCTGTCTCCATAACTTTGGGTTCATTTAGGTTAGAACATAAGAACATAAGAATGGCCACACTGGGTCAGACCAAAGGTCCATCCAGCCCAGTATCCTGTCCCCTCACCGCCCCCCCCGAGACCCCCCAAACACCCCCCGGGACCCCACCCCCCACCAACCCTCCCTGCTCCCTGTCTCCCCTGACTGCCCCGATCCCTATCCATCCTCCCCCCCCGCTGAGTCCTGACAGACCCCCGGAATGCCCACGATCCAACCCCCTGTTCCCCATCCCCTGACCGCCCCCTCCAGCAGCGCTGTCCAGGGCCGCTCCTGGGTTATCCCCGCCTCTCCCCTCTCTCGGAGCCTCAGCGCGCCGCATCCAGGAGCTGTCCTGGCCCCTGGACAGTGCTGCAGCGATGTGGATCTGGCGGGACCGAAGCTCGCAGCCTCGCCCCCTTACCACGCGGCTCTGACTCGGCGGGAGGAGCTCAGGTCTCGCTGGAGTCACGCCCCTGCAGCGCTGTCCAGGGCCGCTCTTGACACGGCATGCTGAGGCGCTGGGGGATGGGGGAAGGTGGCGGCAGGCCCGGGGGAGCCTCAGACATTCTCATGGGGCCAGGGGCCCCTGCGGGGCCCGGGGCCTGGGGCAAATTGCCCCACTTGCCCCCCTCTGGGCGGCCCTGTTTCTATGGGTCTCATCTGGAGTGTTGGAGTAGCTCAACTCCTGCACCATTGCTTGAGGGTGGAGGAAGCTGCTTCCCCACTTGCCCACAAGAAGATCCCCAACTGAGTCACTTGGGTAGGGGGCATGATTTGGGTCTTAATCAGCATGAGTGCTGGCATGATGCTAAAATGCCAGAATCCTACTATGATAATGCTAAAAAGTTGGAGCATATTGAAGCCTATGAGGTGATAATGTTACTAATTTTTACCATCTCCCTTGTGGAAACTAATTGGTCTTCCTCATTTAAGTCACCCACTGAACAGACCTCTGCTTCCTCCGAGTTTAATTTCATTTTAAGTTAACTGAAAATATTACAAGTGTCATCATTATAATCCCGTAACTAGGAACTAGCTTGGAGGATAATAATCATTAGTAATTGTGGCATTGCGCATCAGCCACCATTTACAGAACATGCTGGCAGCTGAAAAAGCAATAAAAGTGATTAATAATAAAAGAAGTAGCAGCACATAGACAGTAGTTCCAGTCTGGTTACTGCTTCTTCCACAGCTTTAGACAGAGTTGTCAGAACAGCAAGAGTTATACAAACAATAGTCACCAGAGAAAGCACTTCTATAGTAAGAAGCAACAGAGGGTCCTGTGGCACCCTTAAGACTAACAAGTATTGCAGCATAAGCTTTCGTGGGTGAATGCCCACTTCGTCAGACGCAAGTGGCATTCACCCACGAAAGCTTATGCTGCAATACTTCAGTTAGTCTTAAAGGTGCCACAGGACCCTCTGTTGCTTTTTACAGATTCAGACTAACATGGCTACCCCTGTGATACTTGACACTTCTATAGTGATGTACATTTAAATGCAAATTAATACAATGATGGAGAACAGGATATATTAGGCTGCCTCTAACTATAAACAGTATATTCTATATAGAGCTTGAGAGAAGTCAGAGAGACTCCAAGAAATAACCATTAAAAGCAAGGCACTGTATAATCTAACAATAGAAATTCTCTAGGTGTGACCAGCTAGCATATGTGGAAAATACATAAAGGATTTCTGGGCTTGATACAATGCAGCATCAGATGCACTGTGCAGGAGAAGCAGAAAATAGCACCTTGTTCTGGAAATGATAGTGAAAAATTAAATGTTTAAAATAAGTATTTTTCTCCCTGTCTGTAAGTCAGCTATAAACCATTTTGGCATGATCGTAGAGCATATTTTCAATAAACTTCACAGAATATTCAACCAAACCTACAATGCCAGTTACCACCTACAGCAGACACAATGAGCCAGGACCTCTGAATGAAGTCAGTGGAGCTATGCCAATTCATGACAGCTGAGGAATTTGGTCCATAATAATTAGAAATATTCAACCTCAGCCACATGTTTCTGAAATGTGGGATTTCTTGGTGAAGTATCTCTCATGTAAATGAAGGAAAAAATGCTCATTACTTGTTGTGTAGCTCCAAAATGTCAATAGTTTACAACAGCAGTAAGGGTCTTCTGGGGCCTGTTGTTTCACTGATTGACATAACAGCCATTAATATCATTGGGAATTGAGCATTCATACAAAAGAGATATAGACCTGGAGAAAATTTGCTAGTAGTGTTGTTTACAATGTGTCTCTCCTGCATCCTCTTCTCAAATAGCTCAGTCTCTTCAATTTAAAAAAAAACCTTGGCACGGACAAGACTGATGTTAGCCCATGGACTGTCAGCAGGTTTCTTTCTTTCTTTCTTTATCCTCCCACACTCTCAGGTGCAGGGGCATTCACCAGTTTCTGCCATTTATTTTAGTCTTGTGCTGGTCTGTTCAGGCTTCTAGCATGGTGATGGATTGTCAGCCCGTATGAATTGCCTGAAATAATGTTGTACACCATTACTCACATATCTGTCTGATATGAAACTCACTAGCATGTTCAGAAACATATATAAACATTTCTCTGCTCTGCTGGTCTATTCTGCTATTCATTATTAGTAAGAAATTGACCTGGCACTGGAGTTCACCTTGCTAAAAATTTACTATTGCAGACAAAATATGTTTACGATATCATCTGGCCTAATAGGCACAAAAGTCTTATACTAGATGTAGTAAGAATGTGGCTGATATGTTGTTGAGAATTTTAAAAAGAACCCAAACTTATTACATATAAAATGCTTGGATCAGAGAAGACATATAAGAAGTTGAAGTTTAGTAAATTAAACAACATTGTATGATTGTGTGGAAAATCCCACCAATTAAAAAAAAAACAACTATTGTAAATAATTCTTATAAATCAC